ATTTCCCATAAAAGAAATAGTCTCTCTGGCTAAACGACAATGTAGCCCCAAGAAAACACAGCTCCTCTAGGTTACGGAAGACAGAATAAAAGGAATGAACTTTAACATTTAGAAGAAGTTGCAGTGAAACCTGAAAATCTTTTAAAGGTAGCTCTCTTCTGCAGTGTAATAACTTGGTCCTTGCCAGCCATCTCTCCCAGCTATGACCTGGAGCGTTTTATGTATTGGAGGAAAGGGGCAGCAGATAATAAACCAGTGTGAAGCACATAATGGGCGGAGGACTCAAAGAGAGGGCAGATTAGATTAAATTCAAAGAACCAGACAGTTGTGGCAGTGTCTGGAAGAAACAGAGTCCAAGAGATAAAAGGGATGGATAGATGTACAGCAGCACAGACAAGAAGTGGAGGAGACAGTGACAGGCTCACCAGGGGGCATTTACCACTGGCCCACAGCTTCAAAGGTCCAGAAACATCATTTGGTCAACAAACCTAAATGTGATCAAAATGAGAAACACAATCACCAAGGAGAAAAAGAGATGCTTGCTTTGGCCAAGTCAGGTCCTTCTCTGGGAACACATCATGTGAAGCCAAATTATAATAAAAATAAGCTAAGAAAGGAACAAGGAACCAGGAGTTCTGCTTGGAACAATCTCCCACCTGCTCTTCCCCAAAGCAAGACACACTTGGCAAGAAGATGAGAATGCTTAGAATGTCTTCCCCCCGACAGAAGACAGACAGAAGACCCAAGACAGACAGAAGACCCCGTGACCATGTCCTGCTCTATCCTCTTCTGTAACATTTCCAATAGCATGCTCTGGGTTTCTACAAAATGCACACGGGGTTCCCAAAAAGGGCTTTAGAGACAGATAAATAAGAGAAATGCTGGGATGCTGGCTAAACAGTCAATTGGTTTCTTCAATGCAAGACCTCTGGGAGCCTTTAATAAGGTGACATTTAAGGTGACCTCCAAAAAAAGGAGTATACAGCATGCAGTTTCCCCAAACTTATTCGACCCCATGTCCCTATGTGGGGGAAACACTTCTCTGACTGTTCCCTTAAAGTAAAACAGTTCCTTCCTGACACATGAATCAGACTTGGTTATATTTTAGATATGCCCCGGCCAGGTTTATCCCAGAGACCATGCCTGGTCTTACTAAATTTGGATGTTCTTAGAAATTCCTCAGCCACTCAGAGTGGGTTACAGAGGAAGGCGACTCATCTCACCATTTAGATCTGAATCGCCCGTTTTACTGTAAAAGGTAACCCCTCTCTTTAGGGGTGATTCTTGCCGTCTCCCACCGTTACCGGCAATAAATATTCCATGTGCTCAAAACCAGGTGGGGGCTGGCAGTCCTGGACTACCCAGTACTGTGAGCATGTAAGTGCTCCTGAGCCAGACACTGGGGACCACCATCCGTCAGATCTGGGCCCATACCTCCAGCGGCTGGCAGTCCAGTTAGAGACAAAACATGTATAAAGAAATGAGTAATCCAGTGATGGTGAGAGCAGAGGGACAGCATGCGAAGGGGATGGAGGGGGCAGAGAGCAGAAAGCTTCCAGTGACACCACCAGGGCGAAGTGCCCTGACCCATCTGGAAGGAAGGAGAAATCCCAGGGAGGGACCCAGATGCTCCAGCTTTGCTGACCCGAGACACTTGCAACGGGCCTCAAAGTCTGACTGCGTGGCTTGAAGCAGGGGAAGGCGAACAGTGCACAGGAAGGTGAAGGCTGCCCACAGAAAACAGGCGGGGCCGACAGAGAGAAGGGCTAGGAGGGGGAGACAGCGGGAGGGCAGGCAAGGGGCCCCATCATGGGAAAACGTGAATGTCCAATCTGAACTTTATTCTGCAGGTGATGGAGACACCGGAAGGTCTCTAAGCTAAGGAGTAACAAAAACCACGATGCATCACAGGAATTCAACAAAGATGGGAGAGAGAAAAAGCTTCTTTTGTTGTTAAATGCCGCGAGAGCCAGTTCCAGCTCCACCACTGTGTTCGGAGATGAGAGCTGTCAAGTCACTTAGGCCGCCTGGAGCCCGAGTCCTTGCATCTGTGAAATGGGGTGACCATCTCCACGTCGCTGGTGTCACTGCTGAAGATTCAAGTCATAACGCGTGTAGACGACAATGCGCCACGCAGACACGGGGACTTCACTTGGAAATGCCACATCGCCACCCCGGGCGGCCGGGAAGGGAGGCGGCCGGCGGCGGGGCTGCAGCGAACAGCACCGGGAGGCTGTCAGGCCCGGCGGGCTCCAAGGCCCCTTCCGCCACCGCACTCGGGGCGCGACGGGGGGGTGGGGGCGGGGGGAGGCAGCCCGGCCGCGGAACCCTTCCCGCCGCGACCGGCGTGTCTCGGACCTTAACCCCCCTCCCAGCGAAGGGACGGCCGCGCCTCGAGGCCGGAGAGACGTGGCCCCCGGCCGTCCGAAAGGCGCGGCATCCGCGGGCTCCCGCGCTCAACGGCCCTCTCCGTCCCCGCGCCACCCCCGGCCTCCCGCGGCTGGGCCTCGCCACGCGACGCCGTGGCCTTTCCCGCTGCCCCCCCGCCCACTGCGGCCCGTCTCCCCAGCGGCGCCCGGCCACGCGGCCCCGCGCGCGGGAGCCGGCTCCTAGCCGGTCCGGCCGCCCGCCCCACTCCCGTTAGGCACGCAACCCATTGGGCAGGCCGGCGCCCCGCGTCACCCCTGATTGGTGCGAGCGGTGCCCGTCACCCGGCGGCGAGGCTGTCCCGCGCGGCTCAGCTCGCGCCGCGGGTTTCCACACGGAGAACAGCTCCCCGGGGTCTCCGGGGCCAGCCTACCTGAGGGCCGCTTCAGATCCTCCAGGCGGCGGAGAGCGGGGAGGGCGACGAGCGTGCTGGGCCCGGCAGCCAGTGAAGCAGCCCGGCCGCATGCGCCCGGCAGTCCTTCACGGAGGCGGGCCCTAGGCGGTGCGCACGCACAGGCGGGGGGCGGGGCGGGCGGACGGACCCTCCCCAGGGTGGAGCCGGGGTGCGCAGGCGCAGGGCGGACTCGCTCGCCTGCCCACCCTGCGGGCTGGTCCCCAGGGCCCTCCACCTGCTGACGCTGGAGAAGTCGCTATTGCAGACTGGGCACGCTCCGTCCTCACCAGCCCCCTCTCCCCCACATCATCCCTGGCGGTGGCCGGTCCTGCGTCCTGTCATCCGGCTAACGCTCCCTGAGCACGCGCTGAGCCACGCCCTATGCTGGGCTCCCAGGGACCCTGTCCTGGGTCTGACGATGTAGTGAAGCCCACTGACCAGCGAATTACACTTCACCATTTTCATAAGTGGCTGCCGCTGCAGTGCATGCCAGGGAAGTGAGCGTTGGGAGGGGGATGGGGGGCTGACCGAGTCTGGTGGGGGTTGGGGATGCAGGCGGGGAAAGTCTTCCCTCTGTGGGCAAAAAGGAGCCACGAGCTAACCTGACTAACTTAGGGAAGGCAGCATGGGGGCCTTGCAAACTCAGAGACCTCACGTAACCACAAAGGATGGTCTGATTTTAAATTAAAATTTTAAATTAAAAAGCAGTCTATGATGGGTAGCCATGTCCTAGGCCAGTATCTTCTCTGACAAAGATCAGCTTTGATCTTAACTGAACCTATTGTCTTTTTGCATCCATGATAGCATACCTTTGGAATGTCAGGGTAACTTGTAATTTCCCCTTTTCCGGACCCTTCCGGGTACAACCAATGCGTCAGGACACCAGGGCAAGGAGACCACAAATTCCCTCATTGTTATTGTTACCGGGTTAATTATTAACTATCCTGTGCCCACCCATGTAAAAGAAGCATGTGTTGCCCTGCAGGTGTGGCTCAGTGGCTGAGTGTTGCACCTGTGAACCAGGAGGTCAGGATTCAATTCCAGGTCCTGCAGGCTCCATCCCCAGTGTGGGTCGTGCAGGAGCCACCTGTTCAATGATTCTCTGTCATCATTGATGTTTCTTCTCTCTCTCCTTTCCTCTCTGAAATCAATTAAAAAAAATTTTTTAAAGAAGCATATAAAATGTCTATCATTTTACTTTTTATCTAATCTCAGAGGTTTCCCCCCCATTTGCTTTCTCCCATCTCCTTAACCTATCACCAATGGATTTCATGTAACCCACTTATATCTCCTTTGATGGGAATTTATTTTTAATATATATTTTTTATTGACTTCAGAGAGGAAGGGAGAGGGATAGAAACATCAATGATGATAGGGAATCATTGATTAGCTGCCTCCTGCATGCCCCTACTGGGCATGTAGCCCACAACCTGGCACGTGCCTCTGACTGGAATCAAACTCAGGACCCTTTAGTTCGCAGGTCCACACTCTATCCACTAAGCCAAACCGGCTAAGGCCTTTGGTGGTAATTTATAAAAATAGGTGGAAACCACCATTTTCATTGAGATTCTTCTTTCTGACAATTGTTCGACAGTTTGGCTCAAATAAACTCACAAAAATTTTTTACGGGTTTGAATGTTTCTTACATTAACACATGAAAAAAAAGTGTCTTTAGAATTGAGACCTGAAGTTTACTGGCAAAAGAAAGGGAGGGAAGAGATCAGGGTAAGAATGAGTGAGGCCGGAAGAAAAGCCTGTAGAAAGAAAGGTCCTGAAGCCCAGAGGAGCCTAGCACAGCTGAATCGGAAGGCCAGTAACTGCGCTGGAGAGCGGCAAAGGGAGAGATTAACGTGAGATCAGGCTGGAGAGGGGGCAGGGCTATATCATGTAGAGCATTCTAGACCAAGTTAAGGATTTTTTTCCTCCTAAGAGCAGTGGAAAACCAAGAAACTTTTGAGGAGGGGGTTTTGTTTTTCTTTTGAGTAGTGAATTACATGCACATGGTTAATTTTTTTTCTTTAAACACTTAAAAAGTAAGTCTCTCACCTCTGTACCCGAGTATTCCTGTTTTCTTCCTCCGAAGCAATTTGTCACAAGTTCTTTTCTATCTTCATTAAAGAGTTTTTGTTTTTTTTAAGGTGTGATATGATCAGATTTGTATTTCAAGAGAGTCACTCATTGGGTGTGGAGAGAGCAGAGCGCCTGAAGAGTGGCCTCTGTGTACAGCTCACCCAACAGCCACTTGGGCTTACTCCTCACGGGGCCGCACACTACGGCCTCCTGTGACATTCCGCCCTATACATTACAAAAAAAAAGAGAGAGAGAGAGAGAATCACTCAAACAAATGGATTTTAAAAAAAGAGAGCGTATGACTCTTTCCAAATCTGGATCACCCTGCTCCCGCCCTGCCAAGCTGCCCAAACTGCACTCAGCTTCAAATCTAACACGTGCTTGCGACGTGTTTGAAGTGTACGGCCACGCATTCTTTTAAGAAGTATTTGGTGTTTATCAAAGTGCCTGGGGCATGATGGACACTGACAGCATACTTGCTGAGGTAATGAAGATCCTGTAGGAGATTTTAAAAGTGAGCTGTTTACTCAGCTGCTCTTCTAGATGACCCCTGGACACTCCCTTCTTCCTCAAACCTCTGCCATCCCCTCCCCCATACTCTCTCTCAGCTGATGGTCTTGCTTCCTATTTCACTGAAGAAAGAGAGAGAGAGAAAGAGAGAGAGAGAGAGAGAGAGAGAGAGAGAGAGAGAGAGAGAGAAGCCACCAGGAGAACTTCCTTGAGCTCTCACCACTGTATCCATCAATCTTTTATCTGTGTACACAAGCTCTGCCTTCCTCCCTGCACTGTGGACCAACTATAGCGGGCAAACTGTGCTCCTAGTGGTCACTTCAAGTGCCATATCCCCTCAACTCAAGGATGTCACTCTAGGTCTCCCCTCCGGCATCAATGCCGCTTCCCGCTCTACCAGATCAGTAGCATGATGCAGTTTCCCCCATCTTAAAACCCTTCTCTTGACTACATCATTCTCTGGCTACCCCATTTTTCTGTGCCCCTTTTAGGCACAACTCCTAGAAAGTGTTGTTTGCTCTTTCTGTCTCCAATTTCTTCCCTCTCTCTTGAGCTCATTTCCCCAAGCATCGCAGGTACAACTTGAGTTTTAATAGTTCCTTTCCTTGTCCAAAGTGCCCTCTTGTGAGGCCTGGGACCTGCTTTTCTGATGTACTGTTGCTTGCTCAGTGCCTAGCTAGCCTCAGTGCACAGTAGGCATGTGATAAACATTTGTTCCACAAATAAATGAATCCAGAAATTAAATTAGACCTCAAATCCTATACCCTTTTAAGAGATGAGTCCAAAATTTGACTTTTAACTTCCCAGCAGCCAAAAGGAAGAGGATAAGTATGGTTAAGTAGAAAATTACGAGATTGCTCAGGAGAAATACCACTTCCTTTAATAACCTTTCACTGACCCCCTAAGTCCCCTACTGGCACCCCTAAGCTCCACCTACTATTTTTCCTTGTTAGCACTTATCAAAACTATAATAATGAATGGGCTAATTGGTTATTTGATGTCTGTGTTCCCTACCAGACTGTTTCATTTGTTAGTATATCCACAACATCTCACATGGCCTGCAAGTAGTAGATGCTCAGTAAATGTTTACTGAATGAATTAAAAAGACCTTTGTTCTTGCCACTGAGATGAAAAATTAATTTCTCTTGTGAGTCTTCATGGAGAGGACACAGGTTTTATCACGTAAAGATGAATGGTCTCAATAACATCCATACAGCAGACACACAGGCAACGGGCACAGGGCTGTTCCTTATGATTGTCAACAAAGGCTGATGGCAGAGCTACAAAGTACAGCTCAGGCAACGTGGTTCTGCAGAGAACCAAAGCAATGCCAGTGGCATGTCGTGTGGGGGGGAAGCCATCTGAAGACCTGGCTTGTTCAGGATAAATGATAAAGCATCTTCCAGCGTTCCTCTCTGAAGGTTGTTCTCTGGCTTGAGTGCTGGGTAGATTTTGAGGGACAGTGAACTCAATATTACACTCTCTGGGAGATACATGGAATAAAGCTATTCTGAGCTTCAAGTTAAATTCAAAGGCCTTTAACAATCAAATGAGCAGAATTAATTAATGCCCTTCACTGGCATGCCAGAATAATCTGATAGAGACACCTGTCTCATATAGGCATACGATACCATGTATTACTGGTATATATGACTATTTGGTATAATCATACACTAGTGCCTCAATAACACATGTAGGGGAAATGTCATAAATGGGAAGGAACAAAACACTTTAAAAAGACATGTTATTATGCAAGCATAACAATAAATGCTTAGTTCATGAATATATCATAACTAACATCACCATGTATTCCAGACTTGTAACGATGTGGGAAACCGCCTATTGTCTTCACTGGCAGAGGTGTAGACAGAGAACCGGAAGGCTGGTGACCTTTGAAGCCCTAGCAAAGGTCAGAGCTGTGCACCACCTCTGTTAATCCAGATAATGGTAACTGAAGCAACCTCCCCACCTTTACTCATGTAAATCCTTATTGATAAGAATAGTCTGTGTGTCACTGGAACATCCCTGCCTAAGGGCTATGCTATGGGTGGATCCCAAACCATACACCCATAGCCCTTAGGCAGGCAATTTCCAGTAACACACAGGCTAGCCCATCAGCAGGCAATTAACAGAGAAAAAGCAACGCTTTTCAGATCATATGTTTTGACTTTTGGGTTCAGAAAACATGGCAAACGGGACCCATTTCCAGTATTCTCACCTGTGAGAACCCCTCTGGCCTCTCATGCTCGTTGATCTATAGGGCCCTCTCTTTATTCATCTGTCCCCTCACTTACCACGTTATATTGAGATTATCTGGACTTGTTTCTGTCTAGATTGAGGGAGAAAACTGCCTCTTTTTGGCTCCAGTAAATGCAAGAAGGGATGGTGACGCCTTCCCCAAACTTCCATAGGCCCTCAAGAACGTCCTCAAACATATCCTCACCTAAAAACAGTGCTCCTTACACGACCAGAGCTTCAAGACATGCTCTCACCACTTTCTCCTAAGCAAGGGGCCTCTGCACCCTTCCAGAGGCAGAGCGTTCTGTCCACAGTGCCTGGCACGGTGCTTGGCACATGGCAAGCCCTCAGGAAATAGGGGATGAACTGAATCGAGACTATGAAATTACCTTGTGACTTTTTACTTCTTCACGATCTGGCTTTTTCCCCACCTATCTGACCAAGACAAATGAGTGATCCTGCAAGAAAGTCAAATGTTGTACTTCAGTTGGTCGAAGACACCAAGAGAGCAATCCTTTCGTCTGCTCATCTCAATAGCCCAAGTGTCTCCAGGGTTTCCAGGCAATGTTTCCCCGGGGTGATTCGTGGACTGAGGATCACTGACGGGTCAGTGTGTCCATATTGTCCAGGCTCCCTCTGGGCGACTAGCATTCTCCCAGCTGCCACGGAGTTGAGTGACATAACTGAGTGATGCAAAGTGGATGGACAGTCAGGAGATTGAGAAATTTAGAAAGATTTGCATCCAGGAGACACTCAGTGGAACTATAATATGTATATACAGAACTCAATAGTTATAATTTCAAACTCTGGGGCCAGGCTCCAGACATCTGTATCTAAGATCTCTCTGAGATGTATTTCTGTCTCTAAGAACATCTCATACCCCTGCCATTAGTGCCACGATTGCTTGAAAGGTACCTTTTAAAACCTGGGGGACAATAAGGACTCATAGGATATCCAGCAACTACCAAGTTTATGTAATCAGCACTTCCATTTCTGTTGTACATGATGAGAGTTTTTAAAAATGATTCAACCTTTCAAAATGCCTGTTTTCAACATGTATTTAACGAGTTTGAGCTCAAGGGGATGTGGGGAAAACACCCATCTGTTTGTGGGTTTAAAGAACTGGAAAGGTTAACGAGGATGAGTGAAGGTGATGTTATCCTGGAGAAAAAAGTTTAGGGCTTGCTTTTTAAAAATTATTATTTACTTATATTTTGTAAATGATTTTTTAAAAATATATTTTATTGAGTTTTTACAGAGAGGAAAAGAGAGAGATAGAGAGTTAGAAACATCGATGAGAGAGAAAACATCGAAGTATGACATAGAAACATCAAAGTGTAAAAAACATCACTGTGCAAGTTGATGAAATTTTACATACCTGACCACACCCATGTAATGCACATCCAGACCAGGAAACAGAACATGCCAGCACCCACAAGCCCCTCATTCCCCTCCCAGTTGCCACTCCCCCAAGCGTATCCACTACTCTGACTTCCAACACCATTCATTAGTTTTCTCAGGGTTCTTTTTAAAGCAAAACTGCAAATAATAGGTCATCTACTAAAGTGTTTCATTTTTTTCAAGAATCTTAAGATTCACTACATTCTGTTTGTCTCCTTTAAAGTGTACCTGCCTCCCCTGCCCCTCCTTCAGGCCAGATCCACTTCCTTTTTAGGGAAACAAATCTTTTCCTTTGCTTCTCATTATGTAAACAAGGCAAAGAAGTCGGCAAAATGGGCATCTAGTTCACCAGTTTATTTACAAAGTACCTTTTGGCATCTCCCATGTGACAGGTGCTGTCTACTGAGGTCACTATAGTATTGGGGAAAGTAGTGAGGTGCCTTGGAACCCCCAAGAGGGACAACTAACCCAGCCAGGTAGCCAAGAACAGCTTCCCAGAGCAGTGTCTCTAGGACTGGGAGGGGCCAGGCTGGCCGAGGTGGAGGACAGGAGGGGGCTGGCGGGAAGGAGAGCCTGTGCTGAGCCATAGAGACAGGAGGAGCTCATCCATCTAGGAAACTGCCGTTTATTCCACGTGGAGGAAGCCCACGGTGGTGAGAAGACTTCTGGGTTACGGTGGAAGATTGAACAAGCACATCAAACTTTCCCTCCCCACTGAAACCTCACCTAAACTACAATAAAAGGTACCAGGGGGCCAAATATATGTGATGAAAGATTATTTGACTGTGGGTGATGTGCAAACAATGCAATACACAGATCATGTACCATAGAAATGTACACTTGAAACCTATATGATCTTATTAACCAATGTCACCCCAATAAATTTAAATTTTTTTTAAAAAAAGGAGAGAATAGAAAGCTGTCTACTGCTAAAAGAAAAAAATGCATTTAAAAATACATAAAACCATAAAAGCAGGGGAACAGGACAGGTGACAGGAGAAAGAATTTTGGAAGTAAGAAATTAGACCAATGAATGAAAACTGAGCAAACAAGAAAAGGCAAAGCCCAAGTCGGCAGTGGGGAA